CGAATATGAGCAATGGATGTAGGTTCGTGAATCAACAGTGGATCTGATCAGATTTCATATCTATCCGGTTCCACTTTTTTTACAATTGGTCACGAGTTCACTCATTTCACTCTATTTTCTGTCCACACTTCATCAAAATCGCATTCTTTTTCTGACCTCTTAACAACCATTAACGTAGGTCCAGCACGGCCATAAAGTGCATGTCGATTAACTTCTTTTCCTGTCTAGCTTCGAAACTTTAAAGCGGAAACGGTTGAACATTGAACGTTCACATGTCGTTCGTCTCTCCATCCGCTGCTTGCGAGCGTGGTCGCTTAGCCTGCAACTCATTCGCTCATAAAGAAACGCCTTTTTGTGTAATTAAATCTAAATGAGACGGTGAGCTACTTAGTTGAAGAATTTAATGTATTATCGTCACCATAAGAAAAATCTAAATTTTTAGCTTAGCCCTACTTCCATTCTCCTCCTCCGCCTCCTCAACTCACTGTTTAGCACCATTAACGGTGCTTAATGCGTTCTAATTTATTCAATTGTTTACACCTATCGCCTTTATTGTCATCTAATTTACCTTCAGATCCATAATTATCCCTCAACTCGAATTAAAACCAATGAACCGCATTCGTTCTCGCAGTGCATCAGAGCTGTTATGTGGGTTCCGCCAACTCAAGGGGCACATCACTTTCTTCTGGCACGATGGTTTTTTTGGTTTTTGCCGAGATGGTAACTGGAAGTGAGGCTCGCCACAGTTTCCCATTGGATCCATTCCTTCACTCGTAGCTGGGCTCATGCCCGGATAGAATTCTCGAACTATTTCCAAACGTGGGCGATCTCACTGATCGCGAATGAACATTCGACCGCATGAATGTGTTATGTAGTTTATTCATTCATTTGACGATATGGCATTGCAAATGTTGTTGTTTTCGACATTCGAACTTGTTTCATTTATTTGAATCCTGCACAGAAAGAAATTTAATCGAAGTTCGCCACTTTCCATTTGGTGTACGAGTAGGTCAACAACTTTCCATTTCATTCCGTAATTGTGCGCCTTTGAACGATAGATTGACAAGCATTTCGTAAAATTAAAAAATCTTCGACTTTTTCTTCACAGCTTTGTTATATCGAGAAACCTCAGTTAGAAAGAAAAACTCATCCCATACGTGAAATTTAGTAAACTTTTAGGATGTTCTACCGAACGTAGTGAAGCTCACTTCTTTAGTTCGTTTAGGATTTATTTTCCAACAAAGCGCTTCCATTCTCCTCTGAGAGTCATTTTTTCTTTTCTTTAATTTTTTTCAAAGTATTTCTCGTTCTTCGTATCCGTAACCGCTTTCGAAATGGAAGTGTGGCACAGCTGTGACAATGTGTGTTGATGTCAATGCGCGTATCTGTCCGAAATGTATCTGTTGATGTCCAAGAGCAATTTTGACACTCAATTTTAAGCGGCAGTATCTTCACAAACAGTGATGGTGTAAAATACAAATCATTAGAATCTGTATTTCTTCACTAACACAGGCTATTCAGGTCACGCTTGTACGACTAAGATTATTATCGGATTTTCCCGACTCCACGAAACATATGCTGTTCGTTCATTCCACTTGGGCTTCTGTTCTGAGAGGTGAAAGGCGGGTTTCGTTGGGCAGAATGCGGTGGAGTTCTCCAAAGTATAGCTGCGATGCTGGTGCCTGGCACTCATACGCTAAATATTCTAAAATGCTAGTGTTAGGTTGCAATTTATAATCTTTTATTTAGTGCGTGTTATATTTTTTATGGCAATGGATGATGTGAAGTTCAACCGCATTGGTACTGAGACTTGAGCAAAACTCGGAACCTCATGTGCGCTTCGAATCAACTATTGTCCTTTCCGAGAGCTCACGTTTATACACTGCACCACTGAAACCATTGCTTTCCTTTCTCTCAGCCAACATTCTACATAAAGGTGCTATCAGAAATGTTCAGTTGTGTGGAATTTTGTTTTTCAAGCTCTTAAATCGATAGAGCAAATCTCTACTGAGAATCCGCATAGTTCTCAACTCCTTAAGTTTTCTAGTTATTAAGGATGTGTTGGCAACTGTCGAAAAATTGACACCAAAGCTTATATGTTAGACGATGAAGCGTTTTTCCTACTGTGAACGAGAATCATAAGATTGTCAGTGTCCCATAAGCACGCAATATGCAACAGTGTTTTGTCTCTTCTTACGGATGACGGACGAAGGTCGTCGCTCGCTCATCGTCCTTTCGCGCCTGCTGACATAATACGTGCCATGAGGAAAGGAAAGCGATTCAGTAATAGCCTACTGTTTTGATGTACTCTAACTTCCGTCCATGCATAGTTGTTATTGTCTGAATTGCAAAAATTCTATTGTTCATACGAGCTCTCAGTAGTATACCGCCTAATTGTAAAAATGAATGCGGTGTCGACCTTAAAAGTGCTTCTAGAGGGTTAATATTTTAGTAAAAGCTGTCTGGGCTGCAAAATTTTGGGCACCAACATTAGTGATTGCCTACTGGAAAAAAGTGGCACTCACTAAGCAGTGCAAACCGCTTCGGATCCATAACTTCTGAGACCTCTTTCAGTGGCGACCTGATAACGCCTTTAACGGGGCAGAACTTTGGACACACCATAGATGCAGTCTTGTGAGGTGCTCTCTTGAAGAAGATTCGGCTCAATACGACGACGAAGACACCATATCGAGGAGACGAACGACTGCGGACCATCGACTCGGGTGAACCCGGCTGTGAAGAAGGCAAAGACGTCGAAACGTTAACGGAATAAATGTTTGGTAGCTACCTCGCGTTATATTTATTTATATGATCTTGTAAACTGATCTTCTTTAGCTGATGCGGTGTTCTTGTAAATCTTTGTTATCGCTGTCGTTGTCGTTGTCGTTGTTGTTGTTGTTGTTGTTGTTGTTGTTGTTGTTGTTGTTGTTGTTGTTGTTGTTGTTGTTGGTCGATGGCTGAGGTTTCGGCGATTTCACCTTCCCCAGAGCCTGGACGTATTTTATATAAGAATATTTTATTTATTCGGAGGAAAAAAGCTAAGGTATCAATGAAGATCAAACCTTTAAAAAGACGCCATGTTGATCAGGAAGGCTCGTGATCATCGTGATGTTACGGGTCGGACTAGCCCACGCGTTGTTCAGGTGGGCTCGCGAGCAAGACACACCTAGGGGTAAAAATATCATTTTGAAAGAGGACGCCAGGTCAAGTGTGACAGTGAGAAGCGTCAGCCATCGACCAGCAAGAACAACAGCAACAACAACAACAACGACAACGACAACGAAGACCTATACCAACCCCGCATCAGCTAAGGAAGATTAGTTTATAAGATCATATAAATAAATATATCAACTATCTATGCCGAGGGTTACTTTTGAGTTAGTTCGTGTTAGCTTATCTATAATGGTATAGGTCCTATAGGAAGGAACGTACATTGATTTTTCATATCGAGCTTAAATGAAGGTCGGCTTGCAATAGCATTACTTAACTAGAAATAGGATGGAAACGGATGGTATTTTAAGAGTTGACTTTGTCTTCATCGACAAAAATTCTTTGCTTGATTGAAAAAACAATGCTGTTGCTGATCACTTTTTAGTGTTCTTCTGATGAAATGAATTTCGGAATAAAAGACTCTTCAGCTCGTCTACAAACGGGCTTCAACAACATCTACGTTAAGTTCGAAGCTTTTATCCTGTCAGCATTGATATTCGCCTTTGCAGCTCGCCCCAACATTTTTCAGGAATTCTGAGATCGCGAGATGCTCAGATTGTCTGTGAGTAGATTATCTCTAAGAGATGGCATTAAAGGATGTGACCATGATTACCATATTGACTCGGCGTGTATACACACATCCAGACAACTCATTTTCTCCAGTTCCATATGTTTCCCTTAGCCGAAAAACTCACATTCGTCCGGAGTTTCCGGTTCGTTCTCATCTAAGCTTTGATGAACCTCACTAATAGGATTTGGTGCCGTTCCTTGTGGAACTTTTCAAACTGGAAACTATCATTGACCTAGAGTGTTCCACAAAGCCGCTTTATTGCTCACTTACTTAATGATGTTAATTTTATTCGATGTTGGTGGAACATGATCATCTCAGAAGTCAAAATATTTCAGGATTCGAGTTTCGTCGATCATAGTTTGATTGCGCCAATGGGATTGAAAGGGTTTAACGATTCGGTGCTTCTCCTACTCTCTTCTTATTTTTATCATCGTACTGCCCAGGCGAAGATGTTGAGAAGATTTTTCCAAATAAAAATAGGATGATTCACCCAAAGGGTATCAAATCGGGAAACAAATCATTTTACAAAATGATCTTTAAATGACACGAGAAGAAGAGCAATAAGCGTGAAAGTCTGACTCCGAAAGTACAGATATAGGAAGGCTGCTATAGTCAGACCGTTCTCTGTGGGTTGCGTCATCAAACTGACATGGGTATTTTTATCCTCTACGTACTTCAGTCTTCAACCAGCTTATTTAACGTTGTTGACGCAAGCGGGTTGTTCACTGAAGCCTTAGAATGTTGGCTTTTGTCGCTTATTGAACATCTCACATTGACAATGTCTCGGCGACTCGTCGACCTGGCATCAAGCTAGCAACTCATCTGACTGAAAAGAATGTAACTTCAGCGAAACTCCCCACACCGTCCAACAGAGTAGGGTAGAAAGAGATCTTTTGAGCATCGGATTTTCTGAGTGGTGCTGTTTCTATCTGTTACAGCAGTAATAACAAATGGGCGTTAAACACCTTAACGAAGTCAAAGTCCTGTCCTTTTATTCACTTTTACTACTTTACGGCTGCGCGCCTTTTACTCAACTATCACTTAAGATTAACGCCGTTTTAATGTAATTCCTTTGTAAAAATCGCGCTATAGTACCCCTTCTTACGTCCATGTCGCTTACTTATTTCTTAAACGTATTCTTTCTAACCAGGTGTTTTTCTGTGGTTTACTACGAATCGTGCAAATCTTCTTTCTGAGCTTTCATCTCATATTATGCAAGATGTCGAAAAGCGTTAAAAGGGTTTCGACTTTCGACATCTCCATATTCGAATGCATTCACGCGGAAAGCCACAACACAGATTTCCCTGTTTAATGAAATGAGAGTTCATAAAATATCACTGCTTTAAGAAAAAGAGCTTTCCGTTTCCACTGTGTCCATTCCTATCCATTCCATCTTCAACACTTGATTGTAGCTCATCTTTGCATTCATCTGTATCGATCTGATCTCGGCTACCACAGGTCTTAGATAGTTCGTTCAAAAGATATTGAAAACCAACGCTGGGTTTATTTCATGTACTCATTTTACGGCCTTGTCGTGAAATTGAAGATCTATTTGACATTTCTGTTATGAAATGAAACAAACTGCACTTTTCAGTAAGCATTCCTAAAAACGCTTAACATCACGCCGCTATGGATAATGAGGAGGATCCGATGTGCTACATGGTGGAGGAGAAGGCGTTCGAATACGATTACGATGAGCAGTTCGACTGGGAGCAGATGACCAGTGCTCAGTGCAATTGCTCCCACCCGTTGCACACCTTCCTTGAGGTGAGAGTCTTATAATCGCTTTAGTGACGCACCATTATTGTGTGCTATAAACAAAGAATTCAAAGCAGTATAAACATGTACGGCGCGTGTGGCGCAGTGGTCGGGGGCGCCCTGCAGCACACACGTGGAATCGATCCATGCGCTCATGGCCAGCCCTGTCTGGGAGGATAGAAGCACTGGCTCGATACATCGGTAGGCCACCGCGAGTTATTTTAAAGGCCAAATATGCACTCAGTCACCTCTAAACGATGCTTAATGAAGTCGAATCCATGGCGCATCCCTAAGGAATTAGACAACGCCAAGAGTTTTTTATTTTTATAAATATATATGGTTTTCCATTGCATCGTTTCTGAAAGGGAATCGAGAACTGTTTGAGCAGGAGTGCAGATAAAAATCTGCCTCTATTCACATTAATCACTAAAGTCTTAAAAGAAAGTGAGAAAAACACTCATAGACGGATAACCTTATTAATTCCTGTGAAATTCGTTCAGGTGTGTGCAAGCATTTGCCTCACCGTTCCGGATACGGTGCTATTCGGTCTGACAGAAGAGAAGCTGCTCGAGGCTGCTTTTCCAGCCATCACGTATTTGATTGTTTTTCTTGTTGGCACCGTTGGAAATGCTCTGGTAAGCATCACTACAATTTATTAAAAATAACACAGATGGCTAGCTTTTAGCTCGAATTTTTTTTTGTTTTACATGACCCTGTCGTCATATCTACTATGCAGGTCCCAGCACCTCTTGCATTCTATTTTTCGTGTTCCCCTCACTCATCGATCACAAATGGTCTTCGAACAGTTTGCACGCTGTTTCGGCCGCTGTTTGAGAATCACGTCTTATCTACGAATTTTATAGAATGCTAGTGGGGTCAAATCACCTCGAAATCTTGAAGGCCGTGCTGAGGCCCTCCCACGTGGATTGGATGAGAGCTTTAGCTTGATTTACGTCTTTTAATGTCATATGAGGCGATTATTACTGCTTCCTCGATATGTTTAGTTAATTTCTGGCATTTCATCGTTCCTAATAGGAAACAGCGATTAAATATGGGGCACCTTTAGCTTGAGGCACTTCCTCGGAATGTGTTTAGAGTCATAAAAAGCAAATTTTAGCGCTCCTTTGTGACCTCGGTCGAACAGTAGGCATCGTGTGCTTTTGTCAAAATGGCTTACAAAATTATCTGGACGAAACGGATTGCCACGACAACCAAAGTATGCAGACGATGATTTGTGTTAGCCGAAGTATCTGGAGAAGAGATTTAGATCAAAGACACAAATTACTGTTTCTGTGAGAAAAACGTTGTATTCGAGGCGTGTTTAGCGCAATCGTTGGAGATACATTGCAATACACAAGGGGTAGTTTGTTCAGTCTCACGTGCAAAGCTGACCAAGTCTTTTCTAACCCTCTACGGTCAGCAAATTGGCGCCAGACTGGTCTGGGAGTTTAAAAATACTGCCTTGACGATTGACCTTCGCAAGTCATTGAATAAGCTGAATATGTATTCTGGCAGCTCTAGATTTCTTAGTGGGGTTCAGTGCGCGTCACACAACTAAAAGAATGACTAGCACTTTTTAATTTTCCATCCTCCTACAGGTTTTCTTGTGTTTCAGGTGATCTTCGTTGTGAATCGCTTCAAACGCATGCATAATGTGACGAACGTCTTCCTGGCGTCGTTGAGCACGGCCGATTTGTGTCTGATCTGGTTTTGCGTCCCCATTATGGTATTTTCGAAACCATTAACCTTTTGAACTGACAGACTGATTAAAGAAAACATAGTCCTTGACATCCTTCGAAAACATTAGCATAGTCGAAGAAACTACGAGAGTTGAAAGGAAGGGAAATAACGCAAACAATTAAGAGAACCGGACTGTTAGTGCATACGATGCTTCCTCAATTTCAAATAATTTCTTTCATGACTTAGGAATCAGAAACGCTGAAAAAAACGTCGTCTACAGGCGAAGTGAATCGTTTTCAGTTCGTTAAGTACATGTCCCATACCTGGTTCATGGGACGATTCGCCTGCTATTCCGTTCACTACATTCAACAATTCACGTGCTTTTGTTCTGTGCTCACTATGACGATGATCTCTTTTGAGAGGTTTGTTCCACTTCTGTTTCTTTTCAGTAGTTGGATAAAAAACACACATTCTCTTATATTCTATGAATGAAAATGAGAAGAATATGAATAGGAAATATACACTACGAGAACAATCCTAGTGAGCTGGTTCCAAGTCCCTCTAGTACTTAAGCGTTCTTTCGCTTACGAATATTTTTAGGTTTTCGATGCTTATTGATTTCAGCTTGTGCACTTGAGTATCGTAATTGCCTATGTCCTTTTTTTTCGTTTTTGGTTTTTTCACATTACGAGCCATTAGCGCCATGTCTGGACTCGAGGTGAATGCGTAGCGCGAAGTTGAACTATGAAGGGGCCAGTGTTGGGAAGTAATTGGCCTATGAACTTGTTTTCGAAAATAGTATTTGCTTCAACGGATTCATCTTTTTTGAATACTGAGTTTCAACTCGTGAAGTTCGAAAATGAGGGCGGATAACACACTGGTAGTGATGTTCGTCATCACGAAAATGGTGCTAGTTCGATTCCTCTCCGGGCTAATCAAGCTTCTCATCCCTCCAAGGTCGGGAAATTGGTACCGGACTTCTCTCGGAAAAGCTCACTCTCTGTAATCCTCTTGGGAACGCTACAGCCCGTCCATCTCAGGACTCCGGGAAGAATTGCTCGACCAGCACTCTACGACATTCAGGATGAAATGAAAATCCTCAAGTGGTAGCCGAAGCCACACGTAAGAGTTGAAAGATCTTCGTGGACAATGGATGCGAGGAAACGAATCGAACATAAGAAGAATCCGAACAGTACACGTGAAGACGGATCGAATAAAACGAAATAAAATTAAATTTTAAAAAAGTCCAAAAATGGTTCTTCCATACCTGACGATTACTGGAGCCCATGTAGAATCGATATTTTGTAATTTTACACAGAAACCCTTACTCTATCGCCATCATCGTATACATTCAGTGTCCTTTCAGGTTAAAATGTGTTCAATAGTAAAGCTTTCAAAATGTTGAAGAAAATAAATTTTAAAATTTCCGCCGGAAGAGCGGCAAGCGTTGGCGTAAACGATATATTAGGAAGCATCATCGTCTTCTTACATGCTTTCGTGTTCGAAATATGGACTTTAAAACAATAAAGCGGAAGAAATTTATGTCGTACGCTCTAGAAAGTCAGAATTCTTCATAATATAATAAGACAATTTGTGTTTTCTAAGCAAAGATTTGTAGATTCTAGTGGTTTCGTCTCAGTTACCATTTTAATTTCGTATGAGATATGCGGGGGCGCGTGCAGGGCAGTGGTTGGAGACGCCTTGCAATACACATTGGATCGATCCCAACGCCCCAGGCTCACCAAGCTATCCATCCATCAGGGGTTATCAAGTGGTAACCATACTGTTTGGGAGGATAGCAGCACTGGCTTAATACATCGGTGGGCTACCGCAAGTCATTGTAAGAACTATATATGCATTCAGTTACCTCCAGCGATGCTTAAAGTAGTCCAATGCATGGCGCACCCCACATGGTTTGATCAACGCGGAGATTCAAAGCAGCCACTATTTTCTCATCAAATTCAATGTATCAGGTCTCGGGCGTCACGTGTCACTACCCCGTATTAGCTGACTGGCTTTACAGAGACTTAGTGTGCTCGTCGGCAGAGCAAAATATTAGAACTCTTCGTCTGCACGTGTTACTCTCAACTACTACATCATCAGCAAGTAGTTTGTTTAATGATAGAAATGCATCCCACATTCGTACCGATTTTCCTGGATTAGTCAGGAATCTTTGACGTGTCATATTCCGGTCCCTGTGAGCGCCCATGGAAAAAACCGAAGAAACATAGAATCTCTCGCGTGATGATGGTGGCCGACTAGTCTAATGAAGCTAAAATATTCAGCATAGCGATGATGCAAATGATAATCTCTGACACTGAGAACAAACAAATTAATATGTGCATAAAACATTACGATTGTTACAGGTATGTGGCTATCGCGTATCCAATGAAGAACATGTGGTTGTCGTCGATCGGACGCGCCAAGAAGGTTTGTTTTAATCAATTCTGTAAGTGTCAGCAAATCGATAAAAAAGATAGAAAGAAAACAATACGACGATGCTCATCGAATATTCCCGAATACCATCACGTGCTTGGCATGGTTTCAAACACGTCTATCTTAAGGCGAAATCCCCAATTCACTCATTTAAGTTGTGTGAAGACTTCGTATCCCGCCACCTTACTCATCTCACTGAGAAGTGCTGCTAAAATTATTAAGGAAAACATTTGCCCGAAAAGAAACGCATCAGTTTTGATGGAAACGCAGAGCAAAGCCTCCGTGGCTCAGTGTGTTTTGCGCGAGCACCGGAAAGAGAAATCGTCGTTCGATCTGGCCCAGGCCAAGTTTTGCGAATTTCTCAGCATCGTCGTGGTTGTAGTATCCTGCCGTGAAAATTGTAGTAAGCAGTAAATAAAAAAGCAAACATCTATTTTTCGATGTTTTATTTTTTTCTTAAATATTTCTAAAGGCTTCTCCACGCTCAAAGCTCAAAGTTGAGCGACGTTTTCTCTAAAGCTTTTTATTCTTATGATAACAACGACTTTAATCTACTATGTTATCCATCTTTAGCAACTTCCTTCACATCTTACACAAAATTGATCCACTTGAAATTAAAACGGAGACAGGCAAAACGAAGGACTCGTATGGTGTGATGGTGAACGCGTTACTCCCCGGAATGGACAATAGCATGTTCGTTCCCCACCGCAGACACCGGCGGTCCGGAGTTTCGCAAATATCTCAGCATCATTGAAGTTATATTTCGCAATATACTCTTCCATTAAAAAGAGGAGGCAGTAAATTATAAGTTAAAACGAAATTTTCTTGGGACATCTTTCTATGGCGAATAGAAGATTCCACGTATTTTCACCAGCTTATTCAGCACCCAGTGTCGCCTTTCTAAATTTTACTGCGCTAAAAATGATATGTTGCTCACTAGTATAGAAATTCCCTAGCGATTCTATAGCCTCTTTATAGCTGGTGATGTAGATAGGCTTAGAAATATGATGTACATCAACCACTCCTCCCACAACGAACTTATCCTAGCTGAAGATTGAGGTTCAGTTTAAAATTTTGCCAACCAAGATATAAGTATAATTGGGAATTGCCAAAATTGAAAGTTGAGATCAACACAAACTTAGTGGCAAAGTGGCAAGGCTCTCCGCAGCATAAGAAGGTTAGCACCAATGATAACGACCTGGTTAGTTCTTAGCAATGGTTGGTCGGGACCTTCCGGAAAAAAACGTGTCAAACCAGCAAAACACTGTTCGCATGACTTTAGGTGAGCACTAGCCGAGTGAGCTTCAAAAAAATCCTCGCTGAAATATGCTGCTTCTCTCTTATACTCTGAATTCGTTAGAAAGGTATTATGCTAGCTTCACGAGCTCATTTAACGCTGTTCAATGGTTAACGTTTTGTTTTCTGCCTTCTATAATTTTCATGGCAGGTTACTAAGCGAAATACAACCACAACGTTACTGAGATATTTGCAAAACTCTGGACCGCAGGTGTCTATGGTGGGGAACGAACGCGCTATTGTCCTTTCTGGGGAGTAACGCGTTCACCGTTCACGTTAACTGGGTTCTATGCCGATTTGGGCGCCTCAGCTCAATCCCGCTGACGGGTGATTGCTGTGGCAAAAAGATCGATAGAAATAGCTGAGAGACGTGCGAAACAAAGGACCCGCATGGTGTGGTGGTGAACGCGTTACTCCCCGGAAAGGATAATAGCGCGTTCGTTCCCCACCATAGACACCTGCGGTCCAGAGTTTTGCAAATATCTCAGCAACGTTGTGGCTGTTCAATGGGTTATTCTGAAACTATTCCTATAGTTGGGACCATTGCATATTTTATAGTATTTAAAAGCTAAAGGATAAAGCTCTCGGCATAAAGCTCCCTGAGGGATGCGCCATGTATTCGATTTCATTAACCGTAGTTTCGAGGTGCTTGAATGCATATCTGGCCTTTACAATGATTCGCGGTGGCCCACCGATGTATCGAGCCAGCGCTGCTATCCTCCTAGATAAGTCTGGTACCACTTTTCCAACCCAGGAGGGATGGAGGGCTTCCTGCGCCACGGGCGCGGAAACCGATTCCACGTGGGATGCAACTTCTGTTAGACTACCAATCTAATAAATAAGATCAGTTTTCGTCGACTTTATTCTATACAGTTAAACTTTTTTTACATGGGAGAGAACACCACCATTAACATAGTGAATAATACGACAGGTTAACAATAGGAAAGCGGAAGTTTTCAAAGTTATGGAGGCTGTTTATCTTCGTTCCCTGAAAATTTATATGTCATCAAGGATCCATGGAAATCACAGGCAAATATGAAATAACGTCTGAATCCCCAAAGTTGTGGGTGAAAACAAAAAGAGCTCAAAAAAGCAGGAAAACTGATAGTTTCGATAGTAACAAAAGACGGAGTACCCTAATAACTACTCTAATTTGCGCTGCGCCTCCACTCTATGAGGTGGATCTTCACTGATTAACTATGGCGAGCATAAGGCATTCAGACAAATTCAATTGCCGATGTGATGTGGTCTATTTCTTGGTGGCACTATTAGTTTGGAAACCTATCATTTACGCCATTAAGAGGCTGTCTTGCGAGAGCATGCGTTGCTCATTCGTGGTTTTGGTCATCGTGATAAATTCAATCTCTCCCAGCAATGAGTTCCGATGTTAAGCTTTTAGGACGCCCAAGTGAGCCAACCTTAATGTTGAAGTTGATGGACTTAAAGAAAAATAGCCACCACTTATCGATTCTTCTACTCTTCAAGCTTATACAACTCCAAAAAGAATATTTCCTTGTTACCGTTTCATGCATTGCTGTTTGAGAATGTGTAACCGAGACAATCAAAGCCGTTAATGGTGCACATGTTTTAATCTTCCAATAAAAGATGCGAGTTGTTTAAAGAAATCGATGTTCACAACAAAGGTTGTCTCAATAGGGAAACCTCCACCTTGTTTATACTCTCAAGCGCTGCATCGACGTCCTTTTCTGGAAAAGGATATGGAGATCCTTTATTTTCGCTGTTTTAAAGGAAGGTGCTTGTGCGTAATACGTCTTCGTTAGGAAATGAACCTGCACGTGCTCTTCTCGTGTCTCTGCGAGCAGACGAGGGTTTTGTTATTCAGAAGCGATTCTGAACCACCTCTTTGCACTTCCCAGTTGCCCTATTGGTTTAATTAACGCGCAGAATACAATCAACTTCCTTGTGAACACACGCAAGGGTATGGGAATATACTCATGCATATGTGAATGATATCGTTGAATCGAAAATCACGTCAATTACCTTCTCAAGAAGTGCCTCTCCTGAAACTACCTGCGCCGTAGAGCTTCAACGCCGTTAAACATCTGAATACGCGCCACGTATCACAAAATCGCAACTAGTTTGCCCTAGGCATTTTTGCGGCTACCACTTAATGGTGATTTAAATTCCAAAATTTGATGACTAGCACAACGAGATCCATTACACGCATTATAGGAAAGAACTCATTAACTGTCAAACGTTCCAACGAATTCAGCAAAGAGATCTGCATTAACTCTTTTGCTAGCCGTCGAGGAAACCATCGCCTACTCTTCGGTGACCACGGGAATGTTTTCAAGTTTGGTTCCATGGAGATATCTTCAAGATTAAAAAAGAGGAACGAAAACGAGACATGGCATTTAGCCACCATTGTCGAGCTGATCCAACAGCGAGGACCGTTGAGTAGGACACTGAGATCTGCTTGACTAACATTAATGTAGACATTCAAAAGAACAGTAGATGATTATGTGCCTTTCATTATTTCACTTGGAAAATTTCACTGAGATAGAGCTTGAGAGTGCTGTAAAATTACAGGTAGGATATATTTATACTAGTTAGTAGGTCGAAATGATAATTAACTATTACTTAGTTCTTCAGATAGTGGGTTTAAACCACTGGTCGGAGGCGCCCTTCATCGCACACATGAGATTAATTCCTGTGCATATAACCCACCAAGCCTTCCATAGCTCCGGCCTCGGCAAATTGACACTAGGCTTGTCTGGGAGGATAGTAGCGCTAGTTCGATACATCGGTAGGCCACGGCGAGTCATTGTAAGGACCAGATACGCATTCAGTCACCTCCAAACGATGTTTGATGAGGTCGAATATATGGGATGTCCCTTAAGGATTGATCAACGCCAAGAGCCTCATTCATTATCCTTTTTATTTATCATTTATTCACCATTCTATTAATTTGCTGTTTTGTTTATTTTCTACTTACTTTATTTTTTTGTTCATTCCATTCTTTTATTTCTTTATCACTCGAATGTTAGCATATCAATAAAAGAATACATTTTAATTAATCATCTTGACTGTAAAGGGAAGTCGGTTTTTGAAATGCATCTCCGATTTTTAGTTAATTCTGCTCATCTGGTTACTGTCGGCGATTCTAGCGATTCCCACAGCCGTTCGAATTGACTACGAGACGAACATCTCGCTTTCTGGTGATCGAGTTTATTGGTGTCGAAGGAGGTAAGGCCGAGTAGTACTTTGCTAAACCTTTTATGCTTTGTTTTCACCGCTTTGATGACTACAAGCAATTATCTGCATAGGATTTATTATATCTATATTACATCTATTACATCATACATTTATATTACAAGGGTTTACAGGATTACATATTATTATTATATACGAATATAACATCGGACTAGGATTAGCATCAAAACAACAATCAGTTCTTTTCCGTAATATCTTCTGGAAAAGAATGCGCAATTCAGGTTTCCAAATGAGTTTCTCGGTTATTCACGGGTACGACTGAACAGGATCTATGCCGTCTACCAGGTAAATTACAGTAAAACGTTGTCATTATTCCCAAAACCCCGGTTCTTTTTTTCATTTTTTTCTTCTTTTTCCTTTTTTTTCTGTTCAATTTTTTCAAAGCCTCAGCTTAACTGAGTTCAGTGCCGTTGTGGACTCCACAGATCAATCCCGTTGACGGGTGATTGCTGACGGCACGAACTGATAGAACTATCTGAGAGACAGGCGAAACGTAGAACCCGCGTGGTGTGGTGGTGAACGCGTTAGCTCCTGGAAAGGGTAATATAGCGCGTTTTTAGCTCACCGCAGACACCTGCTGCCCGGAGTTTTGCAAATATCTCAGAATCTTGTGGTTGTATTTCTCATAATACCCTGCCGTAAAAATTGCACATGCAGAAACTAAAAAGTAAACGTTGCCACTATTTCTCATACGGTCATGACACCGATTCAGATGCTTCTTCTGATCGCCTTCCCAGTGGTGACGATGTCGATTTGCTACGCTCGTGTTGCTGCCATCGTGTATTCTTCATCAAAGAGAAGATTGGCATTTTCTCACGCAATGTAGGAACTTTTATTAAACATTCATTGCATTCTAAAGCAAACAGCATATGCAGCATACCAGAAAATATGTAGATAACATCAAGGATATGAAAAACGCGACTGTTTAAAGAGCATTCATCCAGGGTGGCGTTCAGCAAAGCTGCCACGGATGCCGCCCAGTTTTCCGGTTACAGTGCGATTCCGATGATTTCAAAAAGTCAAGGTATGAAAACCGCCAGATCCACTATCAACGCCTACACGAAGCAAAAAAGCACCGGAGCGGCAGAATCGAACAAAAAACAGGTGCGCAAGACTCCAGAACTACCTACGGAATAAGGAAGATGGCGAAACATCGCTATCCGAGCTATTCATGAAGAAAAATCACTTTTCAGATCGTGCAAATGTTGATTTCTATCGTTGTCATGTATACCGTTTGCTGGTTACCTACAATAGGTATGTTTGTACGGTGGCGTCTTCATTTAAAGTAAACGAGACCTAGTTAGTTTTATATTGACGATAAAATCGAGCAAATGCGATGACATTTCTCTCCGGTTAAGCGCTTTCCCACTTGTGTCCTGAAACACAAAGATTTGTTGCGATGTAAATATTCTGGTCACTCTTGACGACGACACTCGTGCTCTGTTCCGTCCATAACACAACTTTTGGCCCTTCGATTCGTCGACATGCGATAAAGTGCTTTTCATTGAAGCACAGTACTTCGACTGACCAGTCTGCTGGAAGCAAGCACGTGAATCTCCGCCGTTTCCTCAGCAAGTCCGTGGAAAATCATGATTGCATATAGGATCTGGGTTCAGTAGGAGTATAAAATTCAGCGAGCGTTCTGGTTTCTAGTCATTGATAAGTCATAAGTTCAACAATACTCAGGTCAGCACGGTCTTGAGTGAGCTGGTCAAAGACCTACAGGGCACGACATTTTGGGCGTGGTTCTAACCGAATCAGGTGAAAGCTACAACCGGTACATGCATCGTGGAACATCTCTAACCCTTGCTTCACTGTCGTCTTTCGATGATTGAAATTTCCATAGATGTTGTGAATTCGAAATTTAAAAAATGAGGTTCCCAGCAGTTTGTTGAAGACCACTATTCACGTACAAATTAGGAGTTTAAGACGGAATAGCCCATTAATTTTATTCTAGATGAAGGTTTTCCTAGCTGTACCTAAAGCTCATAAGATTTTGACATTGTTAAGATCTGGAGTATTTTTGCTACTCATTTTGTTACCTCAAAAAGTAACAATAATCAGTATTACATTGATAAGTGCTATCGTCCAACGCTATTTCTATCAATTCGGGAATGCCCTGCTTAAGGATCCATGATGGCCATATCAGGGCTGTAAATTCCAGTTCCACAACAAGGAATACATTCCATAGTGAGGCTGTAAGCAATAAATGGGCCCTAAAGCAAAAAAAGCCTGCTGTTTAGAAAAAATTAAACATTTATATGGCTAATAGGAAGCTATATATTGTGTTTACTTTAAACGTTAAAGTCAGCTTCACAGTTCTACAGGTTACAAAATTCTGTAACCAATTTCAGTTGATGAGCTATTGACGTCTTTCGGCTACATCTGTCGCACCTCAAACACACCATCACTGAAGCACATGAGAATGGGGTTCAACGCCTTGGTAAGCGGCATTGACTTAGGCTTAGTACCACATCCTAGCTTACTATAGTCACCATTCTCGAGAGTGTCCTTGACGTCACAGCTGTGCGACTCAACTATAATCTCTCTTCTCCTTTCTCTTTTAACACTTAGGGACCGACATGAGCTCATTTCCACTCAAACGATGCGAAAGCAAGCGTCGCTTTCAACTTAATTACAACTTTAAAGTGAATTTTACTAAACGTAATAGAAAGCGTTAAAATCTATGGGTTCTCAGCACTGATATGCAAGATCTATTATCCTAACAAGACGAAATTCCGATTTTTTGAAGCTGACGAAACGTGTTCTTTGCAACCGCTATAATGCTGAGATATTTGCAAAGCTCCAGACCGCAGGTGTCTGCGATGGGGAACGAACGCGCTATTACCCTTTCCGGGTACATTCTATACATTTCTTTTCACACAGAAACGTATTTTAAAAGGAAAGCAATTGTGAATGACTTGTATTTTGTTCATCAGAAGAATTTTGTCTGGAATTCTAGAAATCTAACTTTCACCTCAACTTCTTTCAGAATTCTTGATTTTAAATAACCTTAAACTAGGTCGAGTAACAGTTTTAAAAAGTCATACTTACTGAACAGGTAGAGCAAACTCGTTTCTGCACGCCGATGACATTTTTTACTCCTCAAGTGCAATTCTTGACGGGAAATTATTTTAAAAGTGAAATAACAAAAGAGAATAAAGGATAAAGCTCTTGGCGTTGATCAATCCCTGAGGGATGCACCTTGCATTCGACTTCACTAAGTATCCTTGGAAGTGATTGAATGCATATATGTCCTTTACAATGACTCGCAGTGGTCCACCGATGTATCGAGCCAGCGCTGCTATCCTTCCAGACAAGTCTGGTACCAATTTACCAACCCCTGAGAGATGGAGGGCTTCCTGGGCCATCGGCGCGGAGACCGATTCCACGTGGTGGCGCCTCCAGCCACTGCGCCACACGCGCACATTTACAAGTGAAAAGGTTAAAAAATTATATCGGAAAAATTGAAATAAATTTGAGCTGGAAAAAGTAGGAAGCAATTTGTTAAAGACCAGTTTCGAGATATATGGGTCGATCAGGCGACATTTCCACGTTGTTTGTTCAAAGTGTATTCTTTCATATTCTTCACGAACAAACACGAGGTGTCATTTTATTTCTTTATTTACGTACAAGCTGACTTTCGGTGGATTTCGCCCTTTTCATAGCCCGGAAAGGTCAAGTTGACTGCAATCTACACGGTGAAACATCTCCATAACCGAACAGAGAAAATGCGGAACCAAAATTTCACTCACATTGAACACAGAATAGCTTCTTCGCATTTTTGAGCATAAAATGAAGACGTGTAAACACAAAAAAAAGTTACTATGGCACTTTTCAAGTCGTTGACTTATTACTCAGTTATTTGAAGCATTAAAACACAAAGAAGATCTTTGAATAAATGTGGTAACCTTGAGAACAAAGGCCGGATGGCCGGATATGCATTCAATCATCTCCAATGATATTTCATGAAGTCGAATGCATGGCGCATCCCTCAGAGATTTATCAACGCCAAGAGCTTTAGAGAGCTTTTAGCTTTAATCTTAGGAATGCCTTTCATCCGATGACGTTTAAGGGGAAAGCGGCAATAAAGGACGATTATTAATTTAAGTTTGAACATTAAGTTAATTACGCGCTATTTTCTTCAAAGCGAATTATTTGGCGATGTTTCAGACCTACTGTCAATCTTGCATCAACCCGATTTTGTACGCTTTTATTTCTCAGAACTTCCGCATCACCTTCAAATCAGCCTACTCCCGTATGAAACGTCGTTTGCAAGTGAGCTTATTCCTTGTTCATTAAAATCTCTGCTGGAATTTTAAGAATCATAGAAATGTAAATGAATGAAAACCAGCTTCTTTCAGGGTATGGAGGAAACACATTATAGGATGGGATCCGGTTCGTCGGCCTCAATGTTGTCTACACGAAATCAACAGCGAGTTAACTGTGGAAGTCCTAACACCCTTACAGTTCCTGGAAGGTAAGATCTCGCGGTCCTAGTGAGCAGAGTCTTTCATGAGTTGATATATTTATTTATGTGATCTTATAAACTGATCTTCTTAAGCTGACGCGAGGTTGGTACAGATCTTCGTTGTCGTTGTCGTTGTCGTTGTTTTTGATGTCATTGAACGATGGCTGACGTTTCGGCGACTTCGCCTTCCTCAGAGCCTGGACGTACTTTATGTTAGAATACTTTTTATTATTCGGTTGAAAAGAAGGTTAAAGTATTAATATATATATATATATATATATATGTATAGTAAGGAAGATCAAACTTTCAAATAGACGCCATATTGAACAGAAAGGCCACTCACCGTGATGTTACGTGCGGGTCTGGCCCACACGTAGTTCATGTGGAGTCGCGAGCAAGACACGCCCCGGGGTCAAAATATCATTTTGAAATAGGGCGCCAGGTCACGCGTGATAGTGAGGCATTCGTCCTTCCGGTTCATCTTTGGATTTTTGAAATTTATCCAAAACGCGTCAAGAGTTCTGCGCGTTGATGTTTATGATTCCTGCGCTAGGATCCTCACGGTCACTTCAAAAATCATCGCCGTTGTGCTTTTGAGCCCTATGCGTACCTAGAGGGGTGTTTAAACGGATTTTAGCTTTGCCATCTATATGTTCTTTTGTGCGGACACAAAGTGGTCTACCCGTTTCCCCAATATATTACTCGCCGCATGCATTACATGAGATCAAGTATATTATACCTAAACTCATGCAATCCCCGTCTCTCCCGTTAGGACAGATCATACAGTTTTCTGAGCTGCACAAACGATCATAAAGACGGTTTCGAACTAACTGAAGGCGTAGGGTATTGGGTGGGATGTCAATAATCGTTACATAATTTTCAAGACCACATTTTCTTAAGCACTTTTTAATGGCGTGACCTACTTCATTTGATATCAAAGGCGGCTTAAAGGGAATCCTACTTTCGTCTGAAATATTATTTTGGGAAACTACCCAATGTTTTCCTCTAATCCGAGTGGCTTCTACTTCGTAGCCATTGGAAATGGCAATTTTTCGTGCCAGGCTTCGCGATTCCTTCCTTTCCTCTTCTCCTGTACACACATTTTTAGCCGTACGATACTTTGAAGTATCTGTCACGATCCTCGTGCAGGAATCAAGAACACAAGCACGCAAAACTCTCGAGGCATTCTGGATTAATCCCATGGTGAAAACAGTGCAGATGTTTCCATTGCTAAGTCCAAATAAGAGCTAGCGTATGAACAAGAGTGCCAGGCTAGCTTCCCGTTATTATTCCTCCCTGAAAAAAAAACAATAAAAGAGGAGCTTCACACTAAGACTGACGTGCTACTTATTGTGTCCCTTGTGCTTCTCTGCGGTGTGACTGTGATAAATCGAGTTTATTTGTGATGAAATTTTTCAGAATTCAACGAAATCTATACGTGTCTACCTATGTTCGGCTTCAGTATGGTATTCTGAAGCATTGCATGGTGACGTACAAAGAAGGAACCTGAGTTAATTCCTGTTAAATGGTAGGGATAGATACCTTCAACAGAGATAGTCTCACCTGAGAAAGAGCGTCTTACTGGAGGTTTCACGTCTGCATCATTCATATCGTTGTAGGCCACTTTCAACTAAGAAATAAGATTGTGTTCATAGCTCTTCTATAAGCTGTAACGCTTATGAAGATAATGTTTCATATGTGGTTCCTTCTTTTCAGAAGATTTCCACATACTAATCTCAGAATAAGTGTCCTTTCGCGGAGTGCTCGTGAGCGAGCATTGTTGTTTTCCCAGCGATCGTTTATGGTTTTTTCCTCAGTTCCATGTTGATGGACTCTTTGATGACAAGGATTGGGCAACTGTCAAATTTCTTTTGTAGGTTATTCCACGAAGGACGTCAGTTCGATGGCGGACTAGCTTACACGATCTCATTTTATTCCGTCGTTGAAGGTTTCTTGGTACGAGAGTGCAGTTTTCGGATTCTAAAGATTGTATGTATTAGCCGAGAGGCAGGCGAAACGAAGGACCCGCATGGTGTGGTGGTGAACGCGTTACTCCTCGGAAAGGGTAATAGCGCGTTCGTTCCCCACCGCAAATATCTCAGCATCGTTGTAGTTGTATTTCGCATAATACCTTGCCGTAGAAATTATAGTAGGCAGAAAATAAAAAGTAAAGCGTTGCATGCACTGTTAAGGATTTAACATTCGGCGTGTTACGCTCTAAATGATTAATTCGTCCCTATTATAGCTGTGATCACAGGAATTATTGCCGTTCTAAAAGAATGCTAGCCACAAGGTGCTATTCTCCGATCGACACGGACCAGCGACGATCTGTTTGCGTGACTTGGGATCTTCCTATCACTGTTGTTTCGATATTCCACAAAGAATTCACATTCGACTAGCACTAAACGTGAAAATGAGGAAAGGAAACGACACTTCACAAATCCGCGGACAAACCCTCGCGTAAGCATGAGCACATTAGAAAATAACACAGCAGGGTAACGGCAGATAAAGCGTTGCGAAACCATGCGAAACAACATTTGAGGATGTGTTCAGGAACAAAATCAGCAAAATAAAGGCGCATTTTCGAGCCTCATCAACTATTAAAACGCTTAAAAACTTATAAAATCTGGAATATGAAGCCTTTACATTGTGAATGATGCTCATTAGGACATGCGGTGACACTTATTTCTGTTTTACCTCCGCATGCCCACTTTCTATTATCCTCGGCATTGATCAATAAGTTAATATTATCTTGATAAGCAAACACTAGACTGTTATGTTAATCTTTACTTTACAATGGCCAACGTTTCGGCGGATTTAGCGGTTGTCGGAGCACGGAAAGGTCAAGATGGGTCTCTTCTTTGCCCTTTTGGGCTCTGCTTTTAGCTAAGTGGTTCATACTTTTATTTAAGCAAAATGAAAACAGACTGTCTTCAGTAACCTTTACAATTCTATATATTTCACATTAAAACTGTATGTAAAATTGCAAATCCCGTCTTGAAGTGATGTAAGAAGCTCGCTCTTAGAAGAAGACAGGCATGAACCACATGCCGGCTGCGAGCTCCGAGGGTGTCGTGCACGGTGAGCGAACAGATTTTTCCTTCATTGACAAAACAGTCTCTTAGCCGTTTACTTGGGAGTCGCTGGACGTCTTGGTCTGAAAAATAGTAGACTGAAACAAGTTCGGAACTCTGCGACAATAAGCCACAGTTCAATCGTTCAAAAATAAAATGTTTGATAACTCATATGACTGTCTATAAACTTTTCTATAAATAAATAATTGATATATCTACATGTATATATTTTTACGAACTGCCTTTGTTGAGCTGATGCAAGATTGATATGAGCTGTCGTTTGTTGTTGTTGTTGCTGTTGTTCGATGGCTGACGGCGATTTCGCCTTCCTCATGGCCTGGACGTATTACATGTAATAATAGCCTTATAATTCGCTGATATATCTATAGCATTAACGAAGATGTAAGACAAAGACCTTTTTTCAAAATTATTTCTTGACCTAGGTGGGCCTCACGCGTCATTCCACGTGAACAACACACGCGTGGAACTAACCTGGGTGGTCCCACACGCAACAACACGGTGAGTAGTTTTTGAGCAAAATGACGTTAATTTATATCTTCGATTTTTATTAATACTATAGATGTTTCACCGAATTATAAGACGTCCTGGCTTTGAGGAAGCGAATTCGCCGTCAACCATCAAACAACAGCAACAACAACAAACGACAACTCATACTAACCACGCATCAGCTTAACCGGGGCAGTTCGCAGGAATAAATTATTTAAATTAATATAGCCATTTCCACTGCCAAACATTAATAATGACTTATTCCATAACTAACAGTTTCTAGTGCAGAGAAAGCTTACATGGATGGGACTTTTATTGAGACTTCGGAGTAGCCAGCAACGTCAGTTGAAGTGTTTGAGTTCTGCGGAGAAGAAGTGCAACTACAAGAACCAAACTTCGTTGTGAACATTCTTATCGCTCCATGAAAAAGATGAATTCAATTCCATGGATGATGCGACTTACCGCCTTTCGTGTCTGGACTGAGAAGAGCCATCGGTTGGACTGCATGACCGCGACGAGCATTGTGATGATGTTGTTGAACTTTTTTTTCTAAATATTTTAATGAGAGTAACAGCAACATCGGCTAGACTTTCTCCGTGTCAAAGCAAATACCACAACATTGGACAGATATTGTAAGGGAATAGTGAGAGAGAGAAAATAGAACTAGTAAACAAAACGGTTTGTCTACGTCCTGTTTCTAATCGATACCAGTGAAATAAAATTTGTGCCTATAACACAGCATTCTAGGGTCTAAATTCTAGAATAGTATTGACCATGATTATAAAAGACAGGCACCGGCGGTTGGTCATCAACGACTTTTATGAGAGGTTTTACCATCAAAGATCTCATGAAGCATAGAGCGACTCAGGAGAGTAGTGGTAACGTTACTACCTATCGCTCTAAACTAGGAGCACAGTAACTAGGAGCAAGTGTGTGTAGTTTTGGACTTTCAGAAACCTCAAAACGGAATCCGATCAGTTCCTTCTCAAACAGTGAGCGACCTAAGTGATACCTTTCGAAATGAGGTAATGATGACTTCTGGACATGCATCATCAGTAGATTGCTTGACATGACCGGCAGTCGAGTTTGAGTAGCCTTTTTTGCTCAGTATAGTCCCGAAGAGCAAATCTATCTTATTAGCAACTATCAACTACGACTATTGCACCTTTAAAAATATTCGACAAGTTACAAAGGAAAGAAGGTTGTATCGTAGAGTAAATAGATGAAGAAGGCGTGCCTATTTACTTCACAAGTTCCACATTTTTATAGGTTCCACGGGAGTCCTAACAACATGCTCAGTGGTAATAGGATCTTCGGAATTTAGTCGCCTCTCCGAGTAATCTCCGAGCCTACATGGGGATGCTCCCTCTATTATAGCATCTTGTCAATCTTCCTGATGAAAGAACGCTCAGAAATTACATGAGATTACGGA